GTTATGTATGTAGTATGATAGTTTCAATTGTCAATTTAATGAGATCTAGAATAATCTGGAAGATAAGCCTCTGTGTGCTTGTGGGGGATTATCTTGACTAGATTAATTGAAGTGGTAAGACCCACCTAATTCCTTGGATGGTGTGCTGGTTAAGTTTTTGTGTCAACTTGACACAAGCTAGAGTCATCTGAAAGGAGGAGACCTTAGTTGAGAAAATGCCTCCATAAGATCCAGCTGTGGCATTTTCTTAATTGGTGATTGATGTAGGAGGGTCCAGTCCATTGTGGGTGGGTCCACTCGTGGACTGGTGGTCCTGGGTTCTATAAGCAAGCAAGTTGAGGATGCCAAGAGGAGCAAACCAGTAAGCAGCACTCCTCCACGGCTTCTGCATCAGCTCCTGCCTCCAGGTTCCTGCCCAGTTTGAGTTCCTGCCCTGACTTCCTTCAATGGTGGATTGTGATGTGGAAGAGTAAATAATTGAAACAACCCTTTTCTCCCCAAGTTGCTTTAGGTCATGATTTTACCACACCAATAGAAACCCTAACCAAGATGGGATCCTAGACTGTAGAAACAGGAGAAAATGAGCTGAGCACAAGTGTTCAGTGCTCGCTGCCTCCTACTGCAGATGCCATGTGACCAGCCATGTGACTGGATGCTGTAAGCTCCAGCTGCTTTGACTCCCCTACCACATGGACTGACTGTCCTCTGGAAGTATAAATCAAAACAAACACGTTCTCCTGAAAGTGTCTCATGTCAGGGTATTTTATCACAGCAAGAAGAGTAGCCAAGGCATGTGGTAAAATTTCTGCTGACTTAAGCTCCATCCTTCTACTTTCCTAATCTGCTTATAACTAAGATTTTCATGGCTCCTTGGGGATCCTAGCTTTTGTACTAGAGAACAGTAGGAATGTTCTCACAGGGAAGCAGGTGGATTTGCAGAGCCTAGGTCTTGCACGGTTCTGTCAAATTTTTGTAATTCTAGATGTAATTGTACAGTACGTATGTCTTTGTGTCACTTGGCTCTTGGGGCAGGAAGAGATCTGGTGGTATATATCCTAGTATGTGGGTGGATTATTGTCATTCTATTTCTCTCCTTGTTTATCTTCAAGGCTTTCTCCAATATTGTTTTATGTCCATTTATGCTGCCAACCTTTATCAGGTTACCCTTTCTCACTTTTCCAGTCCTGCTAGTCAACAACAGAAGTATACTCCATAATACCAAGCCACCCTCCCTACCCTTTGTTTAGATACACTCATCATGGCTAAAATAGCCATGGCTGATTAAACACAAAAGACTTGCCAGGTGCTTTATTTTAGTCCTAATCTTTCATAAAAATATGTGTGGAAGGCATTACTATCTTTGTTTTATAAAGAGAATGTAAAAAAAAAGCTAGTCTCTTTTAACTTTGTTGTACTATATAAAATTATTGTTATACAAAAATCCATTCATGCATTTACTCACGCATCATTCACAGATGACAGTAATTACACCTCTATGCATCAAATGCCTATTTTGTGAAAATAATGATCTTAAATATTATGAGGATTATATTAGCTCTCATATAGCTCTGATCTCAGGAAGCTTGCCGGATAGACAGAGAGAGAACAATTGAGCATGATGATCAAAATATAAGAAAATGTGGACTTCTACTAGGTAGTTTTGAGGTTGCAATCACTATGACAGTATCAAATTCAAAAGCAAGTTACATACACAGTTGTCAGTGACTGAGGGAATGTTTGAGCAATCTGGCAATCTACAAAGAAGTAGATAACTTGGAATTCAGAGGAAAGTTGAATGGAGCAGGAGAGGTTACACACACACACACACAAACACACACACACACACACACACACACACACGCACACACACGCACAGAGTGTGTAGCATTTGCACAGAACTGAGCATATCCCAGAGGTAGAAAAAGCTGTTTTGAGTGATCAGGACATATGAGCCAGGAGGTGGAGGTATGCCAAGTGTGAAGTATGAAATTGACAGAAGTCAGGTGCCCAAGGGTAGCATTTCTAGCATCAAAGTTCTCATTGAATCAAAAAAGAAAGTTTTCCCAGCTTTTTACCAAACACAGAAGTACGAGTCTCAGTAGGAAGATGAATACAGCACTGAAGAGAGGACTCAGTGGGTAAAGGACTTTTCACACAGGCCTGAAGACCTGCGTGTGGATCCTGGGATTAGCTTCCCTAATCCCAGAACTCCTGTGGTTGGAGGGGAGGAGGAGAGAGGAGAATTCCTGGAAGCCTTCCATCTGCAGCAAGGGGCCAGCAAACAGAGGAGCCAGCCTCAAACAAGGCAGAAGGTGGAGACTGACACCAGCATTATCCTCTGACCTCCACACATACACACACATACATGTCCACCAAACACACACATACACACACACACACACACACACACACACACACACACACACACTCATACACACACTCATACACACACACTCACACACAGGTGCACACTGGATTGTAGAAATATACCATTAAAATAATTATAATTTTGGAAGGAAAAATATACACTGTGAGCAATCTTTCAATGTTGGAAATATTTAAGTTTGTTAGATTTAGTGTTTTTCGAACTTTTTTTTTTCCAGTTTGGGTTCTAAAAATGTAAGATAAGAAATCCCGTTCATAGTGTGTGGGTAAAGACCATTTTTCTCAATGTCAAGCTCTTCACAATTTGAATAAGTATTTTAGTTCCATTGCTGTTTGCCAACTTAAGAGTCATCTCAAAAGAGACTTATCAGGCACAGCTCTGTAAAAGAGAAGTTGTGGTGCACAATGGAAGGAGGAGAGAAATCTTTCTGTTTGCTTATAAAATACAGAAATTAGCTGAACCTTAGTGTCTGGATTGTAGCTCTGGGCCTACTGCATTTCTTACATGGTCTTACATGAATCAGCCCATTGATGTTATCCCATAAAGGTACTAGTATTACAGGGTTTTATGAGGATTAATAATGACTCACATAACAAAGATATAAATATGCCTAGATATTTTCCCATTGCTTTCTTTAAAAAATATTTATTTTTACTAATTTTACTCTGTGAGTGTATGTGTCTGTGCACATGGCTGCAGGTGCCTGTGGAGACCATTAGAGGGAGCTGTATCCTCCTGGATTTGGGTTACAGGTGGTTGTGAGTTACTCTCTGTGGTTGCTGGGAACCAAACTTGAGGACTCTGTAAAAACAGCAACTCAGAACTGCTGAGTCATCTCTCCAGCCCTTGTTTCCTCTTTCCTTCTAATTCTCTTCTGATTTCTTTCTTTCTTTTTTTTTCAAATGTCCATGATTTAGTTTATAGATCTATGAAGAAAGACAACAGACGTCCCTAAATTTGGTGAGGCTGAAACATCATAGTGAAAGGGTGTGGCAGAGCAAAGCTGCTTATCTTGGGGTTCGGGAATATATATATACATATATATATATATATATATATACACACACACACACATACATACATACTATATATATATATTGAATGTATATGTATGTATATATATCTTATCTGTTCCTCTAGATTACCCCAACTAATATAAAACCTAATTATAATAGAAATTACATAGCACATATAGTTTAATTGATATTCTTTTTTCCTTTCTTTCTTTTCTTCTTTCTTTCTTTCTTTCTTTCTTTCTTTCTTTCTTCCTTTCTTTCTCCCTTTCTTTTTCTGTGTAGACCTGGCTGTCCTGGAATTTGATCTGTAGACCAGGCTGGCCTTGAACTCAGAGATCCGCCTGCTTCTGCCTCCCAAGTGCTGGGATTAAGGGCGTGTACCACCACTGCCCAGCTATACTGTTATTTCTTGTACTATAGATACTATTACATAGAGATGTGATATACAATAAAGCTTTATTGACTTTATTGTGGCACATTTTGAAATAAGCTGAACCTCACCCCACCTGAAATGCTGGGAATGAGTCTGTTTTCAAAGCAGGGTCAATGTTGGTACATCACAAAGAGAAATTTACATACTTGTTCATTTAAATATGAAACTAATAACATAACATTCACATAAGTATCCTTTCCTAATCCCAACACTAAAATCAACAGCAATAGCAAAAAAATTATTTTGGTGACGTAAAGCACACTTCATGAAGGGAATTTCAATGTTCAAGTCATGTTGTAAGTCAGATTCTCACTAAGAATGAGATTCACTATTTTATTTTCTATTTTTTTGGAAGTGTAAGTTAAGTTCCTTTAGAGAGAAAGAAGGAAGAAATGAAATTGGGAGGGAGACATATTGGGAGAGTTCAGGGGTGTTGGAGGAGGAAATAAAGAATATGATCATCATATGTTATCTATGTATACGAAATACTAAAAGATTTGTTTATTTGTCATGTATACAGAGTTTTGCCTACAGGCCATAAGAGGGCACCAGATCTCATTACAGATGGCTGTGAGCCACCATGTGGTTTGCTGGGACTTGAACTCAGGACCTCTGGAAGAACAGCCAGTGCTCTAAACTTCTGAGCCATCTCACCAGCCCCTATTATTGTCTTTTAAAATAACAGTGCCAGGTGTCATGGATCACAGCTTTAATCACATGACTTGGGAGGCAGAGGCAGGCAAATCTCTGTGAGTTTGAAGCCATCTTGGTCTACATAACGAGCTCCAGGACAACTGTGGCTCCATAACAAGACTGCATTTTAAAAAGATGATATAAGGTAGTGTTATAGACATTTGTATACATTAATGTTGTTTCTAGTGGTTCCAATTTATAGTCAGGGAAAAGCATGTAGATTCTAACACTGACTTACGGAGTCACACCATTCATCTAGAAACTTCCCTAACTTAGCCAAGAGAGTAAGTTGACATATAGACTTGAGTTCCAAGAATCTGTGGTCTCTTAGTTGAAGACATAAATAATAGAAGACAGGATCCTTTTGAAATATGCTGGATATAAATATGGTTGTGTAAATATTCAACAGAATAAAGTCATAGACACGTCATTAAAACTCACTGGAGAAAATGCAATGAAGCCCTCATGGACACAAACCAACTTTATCTTTCAAAACACCTTTTTATTACCAGCAAGCACAGTAAAGAACAGAATTGAAAAAAATTTTAAGTAAATCAGAACAAGATTTTGTGTTGTTTTTAATTAGATCTCAAATTTTTGAGTTTAACGATAAAGGCCTGGGGGCCAGACACTGGGGTGAAAGCCTGCTAGCTCAGAGAGGTAGAACAAACGCCCGGCTGACCTTCCTCCTCCACTGGTGTCCCAGAAAACAAGGCCTTTCTCCTAAGCAGTCTCAAACAACAACAACAACAAAACCCCTCAAACCGAATGTCCCTTCCTTCTATGTCCTGTGCATCTTTTTATGCATCCTCCTGACTCCCTCTTACTCTCTATGTTTTTTTTTCTTATGTTCACTTCCTGTCAACTGGATGCTTGCTCCATCTCTTGACCAATGGCTGACTTTATTTAATCCTGTTTACAGTAACTAGAAAGCTCTTAGATTAAAGGTGTGTGTGCTAGGGCTGAGCCACACTACCACGAAAAACAGATTTTTCCAGTAAGTAACACAATCTTGGGGTTCACAGTGTGATCAAATATCCTGCAACAATTTTGCTAATTTATTTTGAAATGGCATCTGAACAGGTACCTAGAATACTTGCTTTTCCAAATGTCCAGAATCAGAACTTTGCTATTAGCAGTTAATGACTTGTCAGGTTTCAGGCTCCTATGGTCTCTTTTATTGTTGAACTTGAATCATAAAGTTACAAGGTAAAAAAAGAAATTTTAAGTATTTCAAGAACACGTGTGAAGAGACACTGTCTGTAGCCTGACCTTGATCAGCCCTAAAACAATTCTTAGAATGAGGATTTACACACACAGCCAGAAAGCATGGGACACATCATCTTGCATTCATAGTGGAAATGAAAAAGGCACTGTTAAATTACTAATGAAATTACCAGAGCATTTACACATAAAGTAACAAGAGATGAAGAAGTGCGTTGACTCTAAATGAGTAAGAAATCCAAAGATTCCCTGTTCGGAATCTCTGCTGCATTCCTCTTGCCGTATGTGTTTGATCCCACGTTGGTTGGTGGGAGGACAGGACCAAGGTTGTTGCTCGAACGGACCAAAAAGTTTGCCAGGCGTTGTGTGGCACATGTGGCTGTGTTGCACTTCCGTTTGTCCACCAGATGGTTGGTACCACTGAGCAAATAAGAAAGAAGTATCAGGTTGAGAGGCAGCCATGTCATCTCCACTGTCTCGTGCAGTGAAAGAAGGGGAGTATCTTTATAGAAGTCACTCAGGACTTGGCTCTTTCTGACACCTAGAACATGTAGAAGAATCAATTTTTGACCACAAAACCACACAGCACCTTCCACTGGGGTCAGCATCGCAGTTCACAATACAAAGAGTAATAATCTCTGGATATTTGGGGCACATGTTCTTATAATAAAAAAACTCTATCTTCTAAGTCTTGTTGGTGGACTTATTTTCTGTTATACATAAAGGATTTGGAATGTATGATTTAAATCTAGCCTGGAAAATGTGGAGATTCTAAAGATGCATTCATTTCCTCTATCTTTTTGACAAAAATTAAACAATATTTTTGTATGTTTCTTGAGATTACTCAATTAAAATATCAAGAGAAAGATGCCATGAGGAAATTCTGCAATATGCAACACTAAAGACATTGTGCAAAGTGAGATAACTCAGGTACAGGAAATTACATATTGAGTGAGCACAAAGGAGACATCACACACACTCAAACTTGTGAATCAAGTACTGGAATGCTGTTCACCAAGTAAGGGGCAAATTGCTGGTTACTAAGCAGTAGGCAGCAAGGTGAATGTTTTCTCAAGATCACTGGTCAGCAGTACAAAATTTTTGCATGCTAAAACTTTTTGTGAGAGCAGATTTCACATTGAGTATTCTTAGTACAATAAACAGTATAGAAACATTAAAAAGACAGATAAGGCTGGGCGGTGGTGGCATATGCCTTTAATCCCAGCACTCGGGGCGCAGAGGCAGGCAGATCTCTGTGAGTCTGAGTCCAGTCTGGTCTACAAAGCAAGTTCCAGGACAGCCAAAGCTACACAGAGAAACCCTGTCTCGAAAACCAACCCCCTTCCAAAAAAAGACAGATCATATTGGGTGATTAAAAGATCATCTAAAAGTTACTATAGAGTCACAGGACAAATGAATTGATCACTGTTCCAGTGCTCATTGCACCATGGGAGTCCTTGGCATGAATATGTAGACCTCTGCTTTTCAAAAATTTTTATGTTAGGGCTAGGCTAACTGTGACAACTGGAGTCTTTGTATATCGAGGGCATAAGATCACCACATTTTTAGCCACTAAAATAACACTAGCAATAACTCAAAACTTATAAATGTGATTTAAAATTCATTTGAATTTTGGTACATTTATTTATTATTATTTTTGAGTCTAGCCATGTAGCCTAGGCTGGCCTTGACTTTTCTATGTAGTCCAGGCTGGCTTCCAACTTGTGATTATTCCACTTCTCCCAAGTGTTGGGGTTACAGGTATGTGTTACCACACCCGGATGTACCTCTATTTGAGACATTTTATTTATTTCAACTCTATAGACGTGAAATATCTCATGTCTTGGTTGGTCAGCTTTCTGCTTGTAGAAGAACACCTGAAATAAATCAGCTTACAAACAGGAAAGACATTTGGGCTTGCCACTTGGAGGGCTCAACCCAGGGTCCTGTTTGGTACTAAGGACACGTGACCCAGCAGGTGATTGTGAGATGAAGCACACTGGTAACTGCCTGGTGACTAGGAAGCAAACAAAAAGAGGGAGAAGAATAAATTATGTTTACAAACCTCCTTTGAAAGTACAAGTCCAGTGGCCCCAAACCCCTGCTCTACCTTCTCTCTCCAAGTTTCTACTACCTCTTACAGGTACCATGCTTTAGGAACCAAACTTTTGAGACTTGGGGCTTTGAAATATATTTCAGAAATAAACTTTATCAATGTGCTTTCAAAATGGTATTTCAGATGGATATAGAATAGTAACGCTGACTACTGGGTTGATTTTTAGAACACCCTGGGAAGCGCTGTAGTTTTCAGCTCCACAGAAATCAAATTACTATTAAAATTTAGGCTGGTCTGCGGTGGCACACGCCTTTAATCCCAGCACTCAGGAAGCAGAGCCAGGTGGATCTCTGTGAGTTCGAGGCCAGCCTGGGCTACAGAGTAAGATCCAGGACAGGCACCAAAGCTACACAGAGAAACCCTGTCTCAAAACAACAACAACAAAAGATTTAGATACATGTAAAGTGGAAAGTAAAAGTTATGGGGCTAAAAACTCAATGCTCAGAACAATGTAGATGACGTACAGCTGGGAACTAAGTGCTATGAATGTCTCTGTGAGGACGTTGTGGGTGGGAGTGTTGAATCATCATTGCCTCTGTGCAGAGATACCCTAGGCCGAAATGTTTTATATGAATTTTTAAAATTATTTTGTCTCCTTACTGCTGTATTTTCCCCCAGTTAGATTCCGTCAGCATCAAGTGATCTGGCTATCTGTTTTGTGTAAATATACAATAAAGAAACAGTCAGTAGCCAAAGGAAGCCCACTGTGGGACTCAAATGTTCATTTGTTTTTCATTTTTTGAAGCAGTTTCCCACTCTTTAATCTCAGACCAGCATCATCTTCCTGTCTCCCCTCTCTAGTGCAGGGAATACAAGTGTGTGCCACCACTCCCAGTGCAATCTACACTTTTCATCTGTAGTCATCTCAGGGATATTATCCCTTCTTTGAAGCTGTAGCACACATGAACACCGTATTTCAAAGAAATGACTTAATACTTTAAGGAGTTTTGCCAGTGTTTCCAAACACATGACATTAAATTTTAAATAACATGACTTTTCCTAAAAAACATCTGGGCATAGAAATTGGTCTGTGAACCTGAAAACGGATAGATTTAAGATAGTCGAGAACATGATCTATCAACGCAGGACAATCTCCAGATGTTCTTGACAGTGATGGGAGCAGACTGTAGAGTTCTCCACAAGCAAGTGGCTGAACTTTGAGAACTGATTAGAGGGCAATAACAACACCTTACGTTATCTAAATAAAACATTCTCAGTTAGCTGAAAGGACCACCACTCCTCATGAAAAACACACAGGAATCTCTTAAGCTTGTGTCCTAGATGCAGTATTGCTTCCCGCAAAAAACCTTCCATCTGAAGACAGTGAGAGAATGCACACGACTATTCAAACAATCATTGGAATGCCGGCTAAGGGTCACATAGCCAGTGCAAGACGTGGTATCTCCACTTTAGGTATTTCTTTTCTTAATGCCTTGTCTACATTAACATTCATATGTAGAGGTGTGAAGCTACTGCTTGGAGCTGCTAGTGATCCATCTAGGGGTGTGTGTGTGTGTGTGTGTGTGTGTGTGTGTGTGTGTGTGTGTATCCTCCATCCTCCAAAAGGGTACTGATGTAAAGGAATGCATTAAAAGGCATTTATGTCTTATGAGTGTGTACAAGATAAATCATTATGAGAAAACAGGAAAATAATATGACAGACAGTAATGCTGTGATTTATTCTATTTTAGAGTAAAGTTCACTGTATAAGATGTGAGCACCCACAGACACACTTGATAGAGGTGCTGAGCAAATCTCCATATATACTTGTAGAAAAAAAAATCAAACACACTGGCAGACACATTAGGTAATACTGTTAAATTTTCCATCATGATATGATTGTTCCTATTGGAAACTTCATATTGGTTTTACAGTTATTTTTAGCCATGAAAAACCCAATTGAAAATTACAGTCAGTTCAGAGAACACTGTGTGAAACCAGGTAAGTCTTCAGATGACAAAAACCATTTTCTAATAATTCCTGCTATTAATCATAGCTAGTGCTATAGAAATGTCTGCACATTGACACAGACCTGCACCCAAGAACAAATACCCCAGAGACAAAGAAAGAGATGATGATGATAATTCTATTGAGAGACTTAAATCACATTCTTTTTCAAAGGTGCATTTAGTTCTTTGTGCTGTCAAAGAGGGGTTACATTTGGTCTCCTAAGACATACGGAGCAAAACTGATTTTAGCACAAATTCTTGTTCCTTAGTTTAAATCAGATTCATGGATTTCATAATAGTAATCTTTTAAATAGACGGAGAATTACAGTTTTTAGTGGTTCCCGTCTGAAGCTTGTAATCACTACTATTCTGCCAGCCGCCTTTAACTCCCTTAGATTTCCTCAAACCACTGTTTAGTTTTCTTTGTTTACCTTCGATATTTCCAATAAGCCGTCCTCAGAAATCATGATGATGTGTATGTACAGTCTACACAGTGACAATATTTCAAGTATTGCTAATTAACATTCACAGATGCTCAGAGTCATCTTGTGCAGAATTTATATCTCTGTGTGACCACAACATGGAATGACTTTCAAATAGCAAATGACTTTTTAACTATTTCTGAAATTTAACTTCTTAAAAACACCTTTCATTTGCTTCCTCTCTTATAGTTTCAAATTCCTGAAGGAGATATAGAAGTTTGGATACTTTCAGACCCCTCTGAAGAGGAAAAACAAGCAGTTTAAATATGCAGCAGAATTCCAAGTGACATAAAAAAAAATGTTTTGTTCAATCCCTTCAGTTTCTTTCCATCTTGGGTTCAAACAGTATGACTATCTGCCTATCAGTTTTTCTGGCATCTTACTCCGGCTTTGCCCCTGTAGGTTCTAATAAGTTCCAGACAAATGTTACCATCCATGGCCATCTACAAGAAGTTCTACCAGTTATTCCTCAGTCATTGACTTTGTCCTAGAAGAACGGAGAATTAGGAAACCATTCCCCTTCAAGTACTGCTAACGGCAAGATTTGCTTAGAAATTGAAGAATATAAGGGCTGTTAGTTACATAGCGGTGCTGAATTCTAATTTCCCCACACTTTTCAAAAGAAGTAGGGATTTTCAGGTTACCAACCTTCTGACAGGTGTAGCTTTCAAGTGGTTTAGTGCCACAGAGAGGATGAGGAGAGCAGCTGGCACCTTTAAGATGTGCATTCTTTCTCAAGTTCCCTGAGAAGAGAAAACATTGAAGTCAAGCCACGTCCTTCAGTTCTGATTGATGCAATTTTAAATTAAAACCTTCAAAGAAATTTTAAAGTGTACTTTACAAGGACTTCTGTTATTTTTTACTTACGCTTGTCAACTTTGAAATAGTTTCAAAACATTCAATTCCCTTTTTAAAACAACATGAAAATTTCTATTATAACACATTATTCTTTTACTCTTTTCATGAAGTAGTTCCTTCAAGTAGCACAAAGATTACTTTTCTTTTAGTAAATGACATCTTCCCAAGCACAGGATGTTCTTTACCTTTTAGAAATCGGTGGCAGCAATATCAGAAAATGCCTTGATAGCCAGAAGCATCAGGAACCACAGCCCAACTCCGCTCGCACGGCTTGACAACTGGCAAGCCGGCTTTTATACACCTCTCGCCTTGCTTAGCTCTGTCACCAGGGAGGCTCTGTCATTAATTTCCATCTTATGGATGGAAAGTGCTTCATAGGCAGCAGGAGCACATGGGCCATCATCTCATTAACGCTTGGGTAAATATTAGCAGAGCACATACTGAGTGCCTTTGTGGGGTTAATGGTGCATCAGGGGAAGAAGTTTTGGGGTTTCCATTTTTTGTGAAATATAAGTGATACTTTCAACAATTAGTATAACAGTAAGCAAGTGACATTTTAAAAATAGTTTAAGGAATAACAATAAAGTGTGCTTATATGCAAAGAGAATACTAGAGAAACGGGAGTTATAACCACTCTCTCAAGGCTACAGACACTCAGAAATAGTTTGTAATACTGTAAGAACTATTTTGTAAACAGCTCATAAAATGGAAAACTGAATGGACTCAGTGGGCTTTAAAAGGATTATAGGCTCCAAAGCTGCACAGAGAAATCCTGTCTCGAAAAATAAAAACAACAACAACAACAACAAAAAAAAAGGATTATAGGAAGTTGAGAGAGAGTACAAGAAGTGGGAGGCATTCTGGGAAGGAGTGGAGGATGGATTTGATCAAAGCACATTGTAAGCACGCATGGAATTATTCTCAAGGAACAAAGAAATGTGTATCTATCTATCTATCTATCTATCTATCTATCTATCTATCTATCTATCTATAGATATATTAAAAAAGATAATAGGAGCCATTTATAGTGAAGTGGGGGAACACCAAAGACATTAATCCAGTGATTTTACATCTAAAATACTATTTATTAGGAGTTAGAGACTCCTCATTGTACATAAGGACACAGTCTTATTTATTTGTTTGTTTATTTGTGTGTGTGTGTGTGTGTGTGTACATGTTTAAGTGTGGTTTTGAGTGCTTACATGTAGAGGCCCAAGGACAATCTCAAGAGTCATCCTTAGAAGGACCAAATTGTCATGGACCTGGAACTTGCCAGACATTTTTGGCAAGGGTGCCCCAGGACCTTCCTGGTTCACCTTCTCATATTCTGGGGTTAGGTGCACATACCACCATACCCCGCAGTTTTACATGGCTTCTAAAGGCAGGCCCTTGTGCGAGGCAAGCACTTCAATGACTAAGTTGTCTCAGTCCCCATCCCCTTACTCAAATGGAGTTTGTCCTGTAATTGCTTTCCAAGAGAAAGAGCACAGGAAAACTCATGGTCTTTTGTTTCGGATCATATCTTTATTCCATTTAAAACATTTTATTTTGTTTTGATGTGCAGTCCCATGTTGGCCAGTCTGGTATTGAACTCCACATGTAACCAAGGATGACTTTGAACTCCTCATCTTTCCTCATCTCCCGAGTGCTAGCATTCCAGATGCCATCCCTGGCTTTTAGGCATGTCTTCTCTGCTATAAGTGGATCTTTATGATAGGTAGAGTAATTTATATTTAGACTTTCATAGGCATTATATGTCAGCAATGACCACTTTAGCAGCTATACCCCTTAACTGGTATGTCTGTAAAGAAAAGTGATTTTCTTATAGAGAGAGAGCATTCTGGATTCTTCAGGGTGACTTTTAAAATACTCTGCAGACTCCCTTTGGATCTTTTCTTTATTCTTGGCCTATGGAATTTTGTCTGATGTGTCTTGGGTTATATTTTTCATCAAAAGAGTTGAAAAATCAACATTTTAAATATATAAACTTGACTCCTCCTACTTGGGGATTGAACCCCAGGCTCCTTGCACACAAGGCAGCACTCCACCACTGAGCTTTAGCCCCAGCCCCCAGTATCTCTTTTGTTCCAGATACTGAGGTGCAAGAGCTGTGGGGAGGTGACCTAGAGGTAAAGTGGATTAAGTTCCTGCTTGATGGAGCTTCAGGTCTAGCTGGTTTAGAGGCATTCAGCATTAGCAATTGAAGGAGTGATGGTGAATAACATTCTAAAGTAATTTCAGGGTAGCATACAGACAATGGCTGCCGAAGTGGTCATTCCAGCTGAAGTCAGACAAACAGAAAAGCCAGTGCAGCCCGGCAGCACAAAGGAAAAGCTCTCTGCTGGCCAGAGCTTGAGGAACTGTGGGAAAGAAATCTCCCCTATGAACTTTCCATGAATAAACAGTATCTTTAGGTTTATATGAACATGGAGTAGGGAGAGTGTCCTGTATATACAAGCTAAAACTTAATGAGTTGAATGCTTTGTGAGTCTTGCATGGAGTGAGTCTGTGTGATTAAGCTGTTCATTTTATTTCCTTTATGCAAATTATTTTCTGTGGTATTCATTTGAATAAGTAGTTATAATATTTTTATAATGTATATAATAATTATGAAAGATCTCAAAAGATCATTTAGACTTAATATACTTACCTCTTTGGCTTTGACTTTGCTAAAATTCTCAAAAGAGGTGAACCAGTCCTTTTAATTAAAAAAGAAAGACAACAAAAAGACCCTTATTAAAATATGTATCTGCTTGGGAGAAACACAAAATTAAAAAGTTGAAGGTAGTAATATATTAGTAAGAATTTACTGATTAGGTAATCTTTCTGGCAGCTAAAGTAGAATTTGGCAAGGAAGACTGTGGACAGTAGGTCAGGTGTAGGACACTGTGTCTCAGGCCCCAGCGATGCTCAAATCTACTGGGGGTCTATGGGACGGTGGATAAAGGTGTGGTATTATGCTTCCTTTAGTCTTATTGATGTACAAAATCTCCTCAAAGGCAGTACATAAAATTTTTTAGTTCCCTCAGTCATTTGGTGAATGAGATTTATCTAAATTTTGAAAATACATGAATTTATTTATGGAAGTACCAATTCTCAGTTTTCAGGAGTAATTTTTATGAGCGTCAAAGGATGTTAGTTAAATCTTGGGCAAAGAAATAAGTATGATCCATCTCGATCTTTCTTTTTCTCTTGCTTTGTTTTTCCCTTTATTTTCTTTTGGTTGTTTTGTGACAGGGTCTTACAATGTATCCAGGATGGTCTGCAACTCACCTATATAGCTTAAGCTGGCATCAGGGTTAGTATCCAGGATGGTCTGCAACTCACCTATATAGCTTAAGCTGGCATCAGGGTTAGCTTATTGTGAACTTGACACAACCTAGATTTATCTTGGAGGAAGGTCTCAATGAGAAGTTGTTTATGTTGGGTTGGCCTGTGGGCATGTCTGTGGAGGACTGTTATGTTTATGTTAATTGATATTGGATGACAACTTCACTGTGGGTAGCATCATTCCTAGACAAGGGTTCCTGAACTGAATGAGTGGAAAGGGTACCTACCTAGCCAGCCAGATCAACAAGATTAACCCTGATGATCAATGGCATGACAGATTTCACAGTCATATCACACTCACATCCTAAAGTACATTCTTAATGGAAAGTCCTCAGTGCCTCCTTACAGAGAAGCATGGGAAACCTGAGCCATCTGAAAGTAATGTTTTGGAGCTGGTTTACTTAAAATTGCGCCAGGTAGATGAACACTGTCATCCAGAGGAAAGGAAAGCAGTAACTGCGTGATGGTAGGTCCAATGGGATTCCAAAAAAAAGGAATCTGAGTAAATTACATCGATTTGCTGCATTGTCTAACCAAGACCCTTTCAGTTATGTGCAGATGAAATTGAAAAAAGATGCATGTCCACAAAAGCATAATTACAGCTTGTTTAGTAATAAATGTAAAACTTCATCTAATTATACTAGCTAGTACTGATGAGTCATGATTAAGGGTCTTTTGCAAAAACTTCAGGGGAAATGAAGCCTGTGGCCATAGCCAATTAGCACCATGATTCTTTGGTTGTGTGAATTAAGACTCTTCCTGTGACTCAGCTAATGTGCTAAGAACTGGATGATTAGATGAACTCAGATAGGCTGCAGTTTGTATTTAACCTATGTCCATCTATGTTACATGTTAGCATCTTTCAGGGTAGTTAGAGAGATGGATCCAGTGATTAAGAGTACTTAGTGATCCCCCAGAAGATTCCAATTCAGTTCCCAGCACCTGTTGGGAGGCTCACAACTGCCTGTAACTCCAGTTCCAAAGGATTTGTCACCTCTGGCCTCTCTAGGCACCTCTACTCACATATTCCTGACCTCATGCAGATACACACATACACACACATATAAATCAAAATAATAAAAAATAAACTCTTAAAATAGTATCTTCTAGGGAGTTGCTTTAAAATTTTCTTGGTGAGCTGGAGATGATGTTGTAACTGTTTACTATACTGATATTAATTCTATTCAGTCTCCAAGTTAAAGAAGGTTGGTAGTTATCTACAAACTGTTGGCAGAGACATCTGGTTTAAGTGATTCAGAAGAATTTTGTTGTAGTTATATAATTTTACATTCAGCCTCCTCAGTAGCCAAACACTGCCATTTGTGTTGGGGCTATTTCCCTCATTTTGGGGTATGCATTGGTCTTTGTTGACTCATTTCTCCATTCATAAAAGTGTTATCCTCAACTGGGTTGTATAAGTGAATTCTCTGGCTCTGCCAACTCTAACAAACGCCCTTAATGGGAGGCTACAAGGTCACTTGCTTGTAGGTTCCCAGAAACCATTGACACATGGGGAACAGCTTAGAATAGATGAAACTTGGTGTTTGCCTTGTGGTG